CGGGCGGGCGCCGCCTGCGCACCGGGACGGACCGCAGCGCGGGGGCGCGCCCTGCCCTGCCTTCGCGCGCTCCCGGTGCCCGCCGCGCTGTCTGCGCGGACGCCACCGGAGTCTCAGTGTGGGCCGGGACGTTCGCGGCCCGGCAGTCCCGGGAGAGGTGTGTGGAAGAGAAAGAACTGGGGCTCACGAAGCCTAGCGAGTAAGGAATACAGGCGTCCCAATGTCAGTAGACCTGCCCTGACCGCAGTGGGCGGCCCTGCCTTCGCGCGCTCCCGGTGCCCGCCGCGCTGTCTGCGCGGACGCCACCGGAGTCTCAGTGTGGGCCGGGACGTTCGCGGCCCGGCAGTCCCGGGAGAGGTGTGTGGAAGAGAAAGAACTGGGGCTCACGAAGCCTAGCGAGTAAGGAATACAGGCGTCCCAATGTCAGTAGACCTGCCCTGACCGCAGTGGGCGAGCAGAGCCGGTTCGAATGATGTAGAGACCCTCTGAGCACGTTGGAATCTTTGATCTGATTTGGAGAGTAGTGTGGGATGACGCATCCTTGGGGATCCAAAGCGTTGAATAAACGGTTGTACAAAGAGGATGTAGAAGCCCAGCTGACAGCTGTTTTAATCATCACAGCGAAACTGTTTTAGGACGGGAAGTTAACAGCATTGCACTAGTTGAAATCATAGGAAACATTTGAAGTAGCGTGCTTGTAAGGATTGTGATTTCCCCTGGACACCCCTTGAACTGGGGTGAAGTGTGTTGTATGTAAATCCAGCGCTCTGTGACGCTTTGGGATTATCTCTAATTCTCTAGTTGAAATGAACCTGCATTCTCTCTCGAGGTCCTTCTTACTGTCACCTGTAAAGGAAGAGGAACTGGTAAAATAGCTGTGTTTGAGTGTAAGTTATCTGTTCATTGAAACCATATGTCCAAATAGGCCGTTAAAAATCTTGGTTACTGATCTTTTCAATTTCTTCAATCCTTACACAAAGGCTTTGCTGGAGATTAGCTCAGAACTGGCAAGACGTGCTCTTTTGGTGCCAAGTGGCTTAAAAGCAAAATAAGATCATGCCGACTATGTGAGATGAAGGCATAATATTAAACTTTAAAATTTTTCAGTATAATGTTTCATATTTTTATTACTTATTTACTGAGAGGGAGGGCGCTCGTGAAATAGTGCGCCTGTGGAGGTCAGAGGGCTTGCTTGCCAGAGTCGGTTCAATCCGTCCTGTCGGTCCCCAGGATCCAACGCAAGTCCTTGGACTTGGTTTGGTGGCAGGCACCTTTTCCCTGAGCCATCTTGACCGCCTTATATTAAAACTTCTTAAGAAGGCATTCATTTGGGTTCAAAGCAAAAATATCCAAAGGTTTCAAATGCTTCTCCCAGAGATTGTAGCTACAAGGAGAAAGGTTCTACTATTTAAGAATCTTTTGTAGTTGATAGAGCGTGAATTGCATTTCTAATGCTCTACAAAACAGTTTGACTCAAGTCAAACTTAACTATTTAATGTGTGTGATCTGTTGCAGAGACTGGCAGAGTTTTCTGGAAGGAAAACCAGAGGGCTTAGTGTATTTATGGAAGGAAAAATTCAAGTAGAATGCCTTTCTCAGTTTCTTTTAGTTGTTAAAATAGGTTTATGAACTAAGTGGAGCTGAAAAAGTGGTAACTTCTGGGTGTGTATTTCATGAAGTATATTTGAGGAGTTAAGAGCTCAGCTGAAAATGGGTTTTCAGCTCTTGGTTTTGGTTCTGCCTCCCAAGTGCGGGGATCAAAGGTGTGCACCACCACACCCAGCTGCTTTGGTTTTTCACCAGGAAAAAAATAATTGTTGAACTTTATTTGGAGACAATCCGATCAGTGGCGTAAATTAGAAAGGATGATGCTTTTATCAAGATTGCAGTGTTGCTGGAGGTGTAGCTCAGTTGATACAGTGCTTACTTACCAGACAAGAAGCCTTGAATTTCACCCCCAGCATTACATGAACCAGGTGTCCTGGCCTATAGTGCCTGTACTCCTAGCACTTGGGTGATGGAGGCAGGATCAGAGAAATTCAAAATGGGGTTAGGGAATTAGTTCAGTGGGTGAATTGCAAACATGCAGACCAGAGTTCAGATTCCCCAGCAACCCTGTGAAAAGCTGGAAGATGTGGCATACACCTGTAATCCCAGCACAGGGAGGCAGAGATAGGAAGATCCTGGGGGCAGGTTCAGCAATAGACCCTGCCTCAAAAAATAAGATGGAGAGCAACTGAGGAAAAGACACTAGATGTTGACCTGTGGCTGCCATACACATGCACCTGCATACATGTGTACGTGCACACAAACATGTTAACCTGCCCCCCCCCAAAAAAATAAATTTTAAGATCATCCCTGGCTACATAGTAAGTTGTAGGCCAGCCTGGAAAAAAAGAGGAAAAAAAAAAGATTTCAATGTTAATTCTTCTCAAACACCCTCCCCTCACATAGACGTTGTTGGAAAATGTGACTGAAAGACTCTGAAGTTAGTGGGAGAAATAGTAGTCAATTGAGGCATTTTGAAAAAGAATTTTTACTTTAAAAAGTATGAATTTCCCAATTTCTCTATTAAAAATGTTTTTTTTTAAGACAAGATCTTTCTTATAGCCCAGTTTAGCTTCATAAATTCACTATGTAGTTGAGGATGACCTTGAAATTTTCTTTTCTCTTTCAACTGAGTTACATCCCCAGCCCGTTTTTAAAAAAGATTTATTTTTATTTTTAATTATGTTTCTTTGTGTGTCTGTGTATCTGTGTGCGAGTACATGAGCATGAGTGCGGGTGCTCCCACAAGCCAGCGACATGGTATCCCTTTGGAGCTACAGTTAACAGACAACCGGTTTTGGGCCACTTGACATGGGTGCTGGGAACTGAACTTCTGCCTTCTGGAAGAGCTCTTTACCATGCCTTCAGCCACCCCATCCCACCTCACCTGCCTTTTTTTTTTTTAATGTTTTGAGATTGGGTCTTGCTAAATTGACCAGACAGGCCTTGTACTTTCTGTCCTTCCTGTCTCAGCCTTCCAAATAGCTCAGATTATAGGCCTGCTCTGACAGACCAAGTGTCTTAAGTTGTTAACATTAATATCAGTTTAAAAAGAGACTGGTTAGTGAGATTAGTCATTTCCATCATAGTCCGGAAGAGGTTTAAACTACTTAATGATATTGAAATAGCATCTATTAGATAAGCATGAACAGTTTCCCTAGTAATTGGAGTAGGTTGTTTCAGCCAACTATTGACCGTACTTTCTGATTTGGAATTTATTGCTAACAACATGTAATTGTATGCCTGTGCCATGTACAGGGCACACTTGGAGATTTTGTCTTCAAACTAAGAGACCTCATAATTTCTAATCCATCTCCCTCATTTTTCAGATGAGAAAGTGAAAGTTTGGTTAAAGCCTCTAGTTTGTAATTTGGCCTAAAAATTTCTTGCTGTAAGATGCTAAATTGCTCTTTCTTTAGGAGTAGCTTTATGGAGCAATGGAAAAAACATTGAACTATAACTGAGAAGGAGGGCCATTTAAGTTGTCACTTCCTAACTGTTTTTGGTTTTGTTTTTTTGTGCTTTTTAACAAATCACATTAACATTCAGAGCCTTGTATTGTTAAGCTACAAAAAATAATTTCCTGGGACTGTAGCTCAGTGGTAGTATGTGTGAGGCCCTGCATTCAGTCCTCAGTACCAACACTTTAAAAAATAGATAAAATAACTTCCAGCATAATTTGCAGGGTTATTGGATGAACAAATGATAATGCTATGTAGAAAGCACATTGTATGCTGTAAACTTTTATACAGATGAAATGTGATGATACTTTTTAAAAATTTTGTCGCCGGGCGTGGTGGTGCATGCCTTTAATCCCAGTACTCAGGAGGCAGAAGCAGGCAGATCTCTGTGAGTTTGAGGCCAGCCTGGTCTCCATGATGAATCCAGGACAGCTGGGGCTACAGGGAGACCCTGTCTCAAAAAGACCAAAAAAATTTTTTTTGTATTGCATTTATTCATTTATTTCTGTGTAAGTGTGAGGCTGTGCACTTGTGGTCAGAGGACAACTTGTAGTAGTCAGGCTTTTCCTCTCACCATGTACAGCCCAGAAATTGAACTCAGTTCATCAGGCTTGGCAGTAAGAGCCTTTACCCACTGAACCATCTCACTGGTCCTGATGATCCTATTTTTAAAGAAAATATAATTTTTAAAAGTGTAACAAAGTGTTTAGGTCTCTAGGTTTTTGCTTAACCCTGGCTTTATTATTTTCTGCACCTGCTATGTACAGATTATAACTCCTTGTAGATACAGTGCTTTCTGATCTCCATTTAGTTCTAATCTTAGTAAAGCAGCTTATGAACACTTTAAATATTGCTTTAACCCCCTGATTTCTGTGTGAGAATATAAAGTTGCTTCATTCAGTTTTCCAAAACCTTGTTGTTATACACTCATGCATGCAGACTGTTTCCTTAGCAGACAATAGCTTTATAAAAGCAATAGTGAAAGTATCATAGTATTGATGTTAATTTGGCTCTTGATAGTTTCCATATATGGCAATAGCAGGAAATGATTTCCTTTATAAACTGAGTTGAATAAATAGTTCATGTTTGGGTCACCTCTTGAGTCGAAAATACGCAGAAGTGCTGGGTGTAGTGTAATCCCAGTGCCTGGGAGCCTGTTAGGAGGATCACCCCAAAATCTAAACCAACCTGGGTTACAGAGTGACTTTGAGGTCATCTTGGGCTAGAGTGAGATGCTGATTAAAAAATGTAGAAATTTTTTTAAATATTTTATTTTTATGTGTATGAGTG